GCAGCCGCGCTCCGAGCGCCGGGAGAGGCGCGGGCGGGAGGCTCCCTGGCAGCCTCCCTGACCGTGTCCCGTCGCTGGATGGAGCCCGGGGCTGCCGGGGATGCGGTGCCCGCCGCGGGGGCTGGCGGAGCGGCTTGAGCCCCCCGCCCGGCGGAGGCGAGCATGTCCAGTGAGCGGCTTAACAAGACAGCGGTGAAGGATGCGCGGTTAAAAGACCTGTTGTTGGAAAGAGGTACCGGCGCTTCCACAGGGGCAGGGACCGCGGGATGCGGCCCGGGGCACCGCACAGCCCGGCCCGCCCGGGAGCGCTCACCGGCGGAGCTGCGGGCTCTGTGTGCCAGGGGAGGTTCGGGGTGACGGTCTGCTGTGATCGCTGGTAGGGTTGTCAATTGTGTCTCTCTTTTCGAGCTCTTCTGAGAAGGTGATTTTGATCCACGGGTAGTTAGTTGTCTTTTCCGTGTTGGGCGTTTACCCTGAAACGTTGTGTTTGTTTTTAGGGTTTTTTCCCCCCTGGAGATTTTTTATTAGAAGTGCTGTTTCTTGCGTGTAAAGGAACGGATATATGTGAGTGTGACAGGCTCGGGGTAGTAAAACCCCGAAAAGACATTTCTCTTCCTGAAGCTTTGCCAGGTTTCTTTCCCAGTAAATTTATAGGACAAGTGGGCAGGCGGAGATGCCTGTCTGGAAGGCGGTGGTGGCCCTTCATGCCTGGCAGGTGTTGGGCAGGAGACATGGTGGGGGCCGGGGTGACCCAGTGCCTGTCAGCAGCCTCTAGGAACTATTTAAATGGCCTTGAACAGTGCCAGCAAATACAGACTGCCACTGCTGTGAGCCTTTGCTTTTTACTGCTAATAACCTAATGAGCAGCAGGAATGTCACTCAGGAGCAAGAAGACGTTTAAAATTATCTTTGATTTTTCTCCTGCTTTCCATTGAGTAAATCCTCTTGAATATCAGTAAGGTGTTTTGTTGCAGTTTGGTGTTTACAATGTAAACTGGAGGTGGGAAATCCCGTGTGCTCACAGCTGTATGCTGTGGTTTTTATTTTATTGTATGGCCGTGTTTGATTAAAACATTTTCAAATGATTCCCTCCCATGGGAAGTGCTCACAGACCAAATCACTCATCTCTAAGCGAGAGGTACTGTCCCTTGCCACTGAAATGCAGGGGCCTCGATAAATTTAGAAGACTCTGCCCTTGGCTGATAGAGAGGTAACATGTCATTCTAGTGATCTGTGCATTCTAGGAAAGCCTAAATCAACATTGCTTGTTTTGCATGTTGCCCTTTAGCAGCAGTCTCTCAATTTCCAGTCTGAAGTGTGACGTGGACACAAAAAAAAAGTTTGGCTAAAGAAACCCTTTAGTACTTCAGTACTTCAGTGAATTGCAGAAGTCGTCAACTGTGTAAAGTCTGTGTTCTGTGTTTCTGAGCCAAGAAAAACTGACTTTTAACCGAACTGTGGTTTGGGTGGGTTTATTTTTTAATTAATTCTGTTCTTCCGGCTTTTTGATCTTTTGGTGCCGACACTGTTAGCTTCCAGTGACGCAAGAGAGGGGAAGAAGAAAGATCGCTGCCCTGCGTGTGGGGTTGATAGCAAAAGCAGAACACGAAGCACTGACTAACCAAATTCTTTGAAAATGTTGGTGGTCTTAATGATGAATGGAAAGTACTTAACAGCGAAGAGTGATAAAGTGATAGAAATATTTTTGCCCTTTAGTAGTTCCTTAGTCTTAAGCAGGCTTAGTTACTCCTCAGGAGATGATGGTAGACCCTCAGCACTTCGGTAGTGTGGCTGTGCCTGCTGGTAGCTTGTGATAGCTGGACCTTGGCACCAGCACACTTGCAGCTTCTGTAGCCTGATGTTCTGTGTGCAAGAGATCTTAGAATAATTAAACAGCCTTGGGTTTCCTTTAGGTCCACTGCAGCTTCATCTTGGATTTTGTCTGAGTGGCGTTTTTCTAGCTCGGCTTCACAGTTGTGTTGTGTCTGCACAAGTGTTCTGCTGTCACGCAGAAAGCTGAGGGCAGCTACAAATTTGAGATGGAGAGAGGAAGGGGACTTGTTTTCTGATACTTGTTCTGTCCTTTCATCTTCATATGTCATCTCTCTTTCCTCATTAGCTTTTTAAAACAGAAATTTAACCAGTTCCCCAAAGTTCATGTTTTTCCATCCAAAAAGTAGTGCCCTTTTTGGAAAGTACTGAAACTGAGCAACTTGAGCTGCGTCTTTGCTTTTTCTACTAGCCTAGCAACCAAAGACCTCCTCCCATTAGCTGGAGTTGTCTTTCAAGATGAGAGTATCCCCTGTGAGCAATGCAGTTTCCATAGAAATATCATCAACTCGGTAACTCCAAAGGGCAATTTTTCCCCTTACATTGCTCATCCTTGCTGCTCCAGTGTAGCCAAAAGGGTGCAAGAGTGACTCATTTCTAAATATACTTTGTATATTTAGATATAAATATATAAATATATAAATACTTGTGGTATAGGCAGGGCTTCAGATAAGATGATGGGTTCTGACGGAGTTCCTTTTAATTGTATCTCTTGCAAAAAACAAGGTCCTGGTTTCATCTTCAACTGTGCTGGAGCATATCTTGTTTTGGAGTACCAGAGCTCTTTTTAGATCTTTACCTGACTGGGAAAGTCCTAGAAAAGTTAGCGTTATGCTAGTTGGAGAGAAGGTAGTAATTGAAAAAGACAATGCATATAGATTCAATAGGCTTAAAGTTTCCCACTCTAGTTAAATAGCTTTCATCCTATTTACTTGATAAAAAAATGAAGGGTAGTGCACTAGATCAAGTGTCCTGATTCCTCTCATGCTTTGGAGCTTGTGGTACCCTCTGGACTCTATTGGTATTACAGGTGGCGGTTAAGATAAAGTGGGGCTTGTGTGTATGTGGTTTCTTCGGTGTTTTGTTTGGTGAAATTGTTTTCTCCAAAAGGCTCATCTGTGGTGTTTATGTTGAAGAGTTTCTTACCTTTGGAGGCTACAGGGAAGGATCACCAAGAAGCTTCTTAGCTTTGACCTACAGCCACTCATGCTGATCAATTTGCTACGGCAAAAATTAAATAATTTTCATACTTTTTAGAGCAGTTTTCTTCACGGAACTTTGAAGCATGGACAGCAATAGTATCTCAAGCTGGATCAATCTCAGAGAAATATTGAGGTTCTTTGCAGGTTGTTGCTTTGATGGTTAACCTTTTGTGTGTTGATGACACATTTTCCTCTTTTTTCTTTGTTTTAGCTGAACTGGAGTTCGTTCAAATCATCATTATAATCGTGGTTATAACTGTTATGGTGGTAGTGATCATCTGCTTATTGAACCATTACAAACTCTCCACACGCTCCTTTATCAACCGACAGAGCCAAAGCAGAAGACAGGAGGAAACTCTGCAGACGGTGAGTGTGAGCCCCTTGCACCAAACTCCTTTTCCTTGTGCTGTATGGGCCTGCAGCAAAGCTTCCCAAAGAGCTCTGGTACAGGCAACTGCTGGAAAAACATCTGATATCACTTTTAGTGCTCCCTGTAGTTAGGTCTTTTGCCAAAGCTGTATTTGTCAGTAGAAAACAAATTTGGGGTGCAAATTTAAGGTACACTGTCTTCGATTATTTTTAGATCCTGCTATGTTTTGTGTAGCCTCTATTCATTTTGCATTTGGAGGCTTAGATGCAACATTGTGTTTGCTGCTGCTGTAATTTGAGATGGGAATGTGGAAGTGGAATGAATGGAGATTAGCTGAGGAGCAAAGATCTGAAATACACGTTGTTGTGATTTTCCATATATTGCCTAGTACCCTGAAGTTTTATCGTGGTTTTATGAAGCTGCCATGGCTGTTCACTGGATCAAAAGCACTGTCCCAGTAAGGGTCCAGGAAAATGTAATGTTTTTTTCACTAAAACAGCAAGAAGAGGCGAGAAAAGGGATCTCCCCAAGGACCTGGAGTGCTTAAGATGTGTTGTTACAAAGTCAAAGGCTTAAGATGGAATCTCAGTCACTACTTGTTAAGACTGCGTTTAATCAACCTAACAGTAATTGGGCACCTGATTTGCCTTGAGAGCAAAGAGTTTGCTGGGTGGGATGCTCTGCTCCCTTGTGAGGGTTAACCACAATGTGTCCCCGACCTTGGGATATCCCCCACAAGCCATGTAGTGTCCTGTGGTGTTGCAGGGAGGTCCTTTCTCCTGATGTGCTTTTCCCAGAGTGATGCCCTTGGCCTCTTTGCTGAGAGCGATGGCCATGGGGCCATTTCTGAAGTCACCTTTTGATGCATTGAATTCCTGGTAATAGTGTTGAGTTCACAGCTTCATTTTGCTGTCAAAAAAAGTCAGATTGTAACTGAGAGATGTGATCTCATAATGGTTTACACCACTTCTAACTCCACAGCCTCACCTTTTTATCCATTCCAGTCTTTTGTTTCTTTCCTCTTTGTGCTCCTCAGGGAGCTGCCAAGGTCATGGTGAGAGGCCTCAGGGGACTGCTCTGGCTGAACACTAATTGCTAGCTTTTTGTTTTTGCTTTTTTTGGCTACAGTTAGATTTCAGCAGGGGAGGCAGTACTGACAGGGAAGGAGGCAGAGATGCCACAGTGGCTGCTGTGGAGCTGCCTCCCTGGCAATCCTGGCAACTGGCAGCTCCCTCCTGAAAGTCAGCTGTACAATGTGACAATGCAGGGGTCCCAAAGCTCTCTTAGTACGTCACCTGTGCCTTTTTGCTGGGGTGAATTGCTCTACCCTTGGAGGCTGCAGAGGGAGGAAAGGAGCTGCCTCCTCAAGGAGAGGCTGCCTCACTGCCTGGCACTTTGGTAGTGTACGAATGCTTAGCTCTAATTTGGTTACAGATGAGACTGTAACTTGTCAAACCTTAACCCTGTGGACTTGAGGACTGGAAAAATTGACTAGATTAATTTGACTGTTGCTTTGAAATGGACACTGTAATTCAAGAGCCACAATTCTGTCTGAAAAATGTTAGCTATAATTGCTACAGATACCTAAAATGAAATAGTTTGAGATCAATGAAATGCATTTTCATCTTCACAAATCTTTTTAAACTGTAGTAAGCTGTCAAATGCATGAAATAACCCATTATTTCCTTTGTATGGTTCATTACTATTGTCTGTTATCAGAGGCAGTGGTATTTTTTTTATTTTTTTTTTTTTTCCTCTTGGGCAGAAGGGAAAAAAACTTCACCTTCTTGTGAAGAAGAACATGCAGTTTGGCAGCAGGGATTTGGGAATTGTTTTAGTACCCACAACTGATCTTAAATAAATTTTAAAACACTGACTCAGTTTCAGTTTGATGTCACCATTATAAGTAAGGATAATCACAGCCAAGTGAGCACTTTATGGCAAGAACCAGTTACTAATTCTTCTGAAAACCTTTGGTATAGGTTTGTCATCACTGTTACTCATCTGAATTTCTGATAAATTGTAGCTCTTCTTAGAAGAAGGGTCATACTTGCGGGGAATGGGGATTTAGAAGTCTCTGAGTTCAGATGTCAAAAACTTTGAATTTACCTTTGTCTCAGATGTTAGAAAGAAATTTTGATAGAAACTGGCTGTGCAGTGCAAACCTTAAAAGCAGTGTGTAGAGAACGAGGGTCAGAAAACTCAAGTAAGTGCTCTGTGGTAAGGAACTGCAAATGACCAGTGTGTTCTCATTGTCCACAGTGGAATGACTTGCATGAAATAATAGATAGTGTGAGTGGTGAGATGCAGGTTATACACTTTGAAGATTCATTTTTTGTACTAGGCAAGCTTTGTCCTGTGTGCACATGCTATCCAAGTGGATTTTTTAGCAAGGGAATAATTTTTAATGGTATATAGACTCAGAAAACAGATATGTTTGTTAACTACTGATGTCTGAAAAAAATATTATTGTGACTTAAGTCTTCTTTTGGTAGAGAAATAGTGAATGTAAATAGAGGAAATTCACACATGTTTCTTGAAAAGAGAATGGTGAAGCGAATTATTTGACTGTTGACTAGTTCTGAAGTGAACACCCTTTCATGTAACTGAGGTAGCAGAGGCGTATCAAAATGTAGCATCCAGTCTTTCCTGTTCAGATGGGACTTTTTATTTTTTTTGTCCTTTTGTTGCTTTCAGTTTTCTTTTTCTTTAAGCCTGTCCTATTTCTTGATCATCATGCCTTCCACCAGCTAAATGGTGGCTGAGCTACACAGGTTTCTGGCCTTGTAAGGACCACCTATTGAACAATTGTCTTATTCTGTCTCTTTTAGAGAGAGTAATAGGAGTGATCAGGTAAAATATCTACCGCCTTTATTACCAGCCTCATGGATTAGGCATCAGAAATAATGAAATACAAGATATTAGTGAATTTATTTTTCTGCTTGAACTTCTTCATGGTTATACAAACAAACAAAAATACCCAAATGCCCTCAAATAAAACAAAAATAAGAGGATGATAATGGGAATTTCAACTTCCAGACCAAGTCAGAAATTAGAATATTAAAATATTAAATCACTGCAATCACAAGTGTTAACATTTGAAATAGTGTTTGAAGGGTAGAAAAAGGACCAGTTGTAGGAAAAAAAGGCTGCTCTTTGGCAAGTGCACACTAAATATTGTTACATGCCTGTTCTGTAAATACACTTTTCTGTGTGACCACTAGTTCATCTTTATCTTTTCTCTTTATTTTTCTATTCATTCCTCTGGAGTATCACCTTCCAGTCTTTCCCCTGGTCTTTGGTATTTTATTACCTTGGTTATTGGGTCAAGGCTTTAAGCAGATCACAGCCAAGGGCAGGACAAGCACTGAGTGCTCAGAAGCAGTGGGTGCTTCTGCTGCAGTGCTGAGGGTGCTGCCTGCGCTCTCCTAGTGGGGCTATTAAGTATTCCAACCCTGTTTTAACATTAGCAGTAATAAGAGTTTTGGGGTCATAATTATGAGAGTTGGAAAGATACTGAGTGATAACCATGTTGGTATGAGCAGTAGCCTGGAGTGAGCCTGCAAGGTGCTGAGCAGTGTCTGTATCACAGTGGATAAAATATTGAAGGTTTCCTGCTGCTGGCTTATCCATCAGCAGTGTTGGGCTTCACAGCTGGGAGCAAGCCAAGGGTTGCAGAGCACCTGAGAGGGATACAAAAGCCGTAGGGTGTGGAGTACACTAGGAGCATGCCTAGGGGCTACTGCACTTTGAAACAACAGAACCTCTTGTGTGGGAACAACTGATGCTGCTGGCAGTGCTGGGGGATTCTGGGGCAGAGCCATGTGGCAGCCTTGGAAAGGCACGTCTCTGCACAGGGTACATGTGTCTGATATCCAAGGGGAGATCCGTGTTGCAGCGTTGCTGGCTGTGCCTTTGTTGACCTTGTATTGGGAGGGCACTATTGCTGGTAACCAAAAACATCCTGCTGGAATGTAGGTAGCTACATTTGAGCTGCTGCTGTGGCACTCTGCTGTTTGCTGGGACAAAACAAAGATACATCTTGCTTCCCAATGATTAACTCTTAATGTCATCACCCGTGATTTCCACGGGGACATTGAGGGGAAAGAGATTAACTGACTTCCAGAGAGGAACTTAATGAGCTTCTGATGTTCCTAATTTCATTCCTTTTCCCTATCCTTGTGTCTTTGCATTGTCTTCTTTTATAAAATAGATGTTGAATGAGTGCTGAACACTTGGACTGCCCCAGGCCTACTCCTGGCAGCAAATCCCTGCATCCATCACACAGGATGCTCGCCCTGACCAGTCCCTGCCTCCCAGCACTGAGGGCAGCGTTACTGCTCAGGCTAGTCAGCTTGCATTAGAACCTGCATTGGGAATGCCAGTCTTGGATGCCAAGCTGCAGGAGCACAGCTGTAAGAAATATTCCCCTCTTCCCTGTACCAGCTATTTCAGAATAAAAGGGGAGTGTCGGAGGGTGACAGAAAATACTCAATAATATTGACAGCTCAGGGATTTGTCAGTAATTTCAAATGTTAGTCTTTCCTGCTGGTCTTTTAAATTGTTTGCTATTGGCATTGGCATTATTCTGTCTGTTCCCTGCTGGTGTCCCTGGGCCACTCATTCTCGTTTTCTTACTGACATATGCAAAAGAAAGAAAATCCCACTGGGAACAAGAACCCAGTCTACGGCCAGGAGAGGGTGTGAGTGCTGTAGACCACCCTGCTTTGCCAAATCTTTTTGTTTGTACCAGTCATCATTTGGCAGGGGCTGGATGTGCACTGTATTCTCCTGCTGTCTCCTTGAGGGACATGGGCTCGCCTCTCCTCAGGGAGTGCTGCCAAGAGGGACAGCGAGCTCGGCTGCTGCTCTTTGAAGTCTCCCACAGTAAAGTCATTATATGTTTAATAAGGACGTGATTGTCCAGGAAATCTGCAGGTAGGACTTAGAAGTGAGGAGTGCTGGCTTTGGGTGGCACCTGACTCAGTGTATCACCTTGGGCAACTCACTTCATCTCCAAATAAAGGAGGAAGGATAATAGTACTTACTCCCTTCAGTTAAATGAAATGAAGATTACTTCAAGTGATGAAGTGCTGTGAAGTTGGGGAAATAAAAGTTTTAAAGCATTAAGTAACAGGAATAATTGCAGTAAGCGTAGGGAGGCAGATTATGTGTGAGAGATTTGGCACTCTCCATAATTCTCTAGTACTTCTCGGTACCGTGCACTGCTCTGTTAGACAGCGTCACCTTTCCTGCCCTTGAGGAGTAGCTTTTAAAGGAACGAGCAATCCTGCTGGAATACTCATCATTCCATACCGTTTCAAAACATAACCGTTTGTTTTGCTTGTGTTTGTTGCTGTCTTCAGAGCTGTGGTGTCTGTATCACCCAGGAAGATATGGGGAGGAATGAGCCCCTGTGCCTTCCTGGAGTGTTTTCAGCAAGGCACTGCTTTAATGTGGTATAAGGTACCACCTAGGGCCAAAGTCAGAAACTACACTGCTATCTGGAACATTTCACTTGCAGAAGAAGTGTGTGTATTCGTGTGTGTGTATGCTTTTGTATAAAAATAAAATACAAATCTGTGTTAAGGGGAAAAGAGGGACGGTCTTAATAATTGTAATGCATTTTAGAAAGTGAAAAACTGACTTTTGTTTCTCAGAAAACATCATTTTAGGCAGAGTTCTATTTTGCAGCAACTTAATAGTGGAGAAAGCCTGTAAATCTCCTTAACAGTCAGCAAAAAAAGAAAAGTTTGGATTATATGGGATTGTCATGGTTTAACCCCAGCTGGCAACTAAGCACCATACAGCCACTTGCTCCCAGCAGGCTGGGGGTGATAATCAGGAGGGTAAAAGTGAAAACTCACAGGCTGAGATCAAGACAGTTTAACAGGGAAAGCAAAAGAAGGAATTCATTCACCACTTCCCAGGGCCAGGCACGTCCATCCATTTCCAGGGCATCGGTGCTTCATGGTGTGTAACAGTGACTTGTGAAGACAAATGGTCCTGCTGCCAAAGTCCCCCTTTCCTTCTTCTTCCCCTGGCTCTACGTACTGATCATGCTGCCATATGGTCTGGAATGTCCCTTTGGTCAGTGGGGTCAGCTGTCCAGGCTGTGTGCCCTCCCAGCACCTCATGCACCCTCAGGCTCCTCACTGGTGGGGTGAGTTGAGGAGCAGAAAAGGCCCTGATTCTGTGTAAACACCATTCAGCAATAATGAAAATATTCCTGGGTTATCAACATTGTTTTCCTCACAAATCCAAAACATGGCCGCATACTTGCTGCTATGAAGAAAATTTATTCTATCCCAGCTATAACAAGCACAGGGATCCTTTTGCTTTATTACAGTTTGAGGAAAACTTTTGTCTGAGTGCAAATTTTTACCTATAATTTCTCTTGAGTTCTGGTAAATCTCTCTCCTGCTGGCTGTCAATGGGCTGATGGGATGGCAGTGTGTGCTCCGGAGTTTAAAAATGTCCTCAAAAAGTCATCTTCCTACACTGTTTAATTATAGAGACTCTAAAGCTTTGTAAAATTTGAAATAGCAAATTATCCTAGGCTTGTGAAATCTTCTAAGCTCTAAATACTGAGTTAAATAATCATCACCATGAGATAATTAAGTAATCACTCAGCTGGATTTATTAAATGATGCTATTTCAAAACCTAATCACAAAGTTAATTTTGGTAAATTACAGTGAAACCCAAAAATGGCAGTGGTCAGCAAAAGACACAGGTGGATCACTAAGATTTTTCTTGCTTGGTGTTACTGGTAGGTGCTGAAATTTTCATTCCAAAGCCTAACAATGTTAAAAATGAATACACTATAGGGAATGAATGCATAAGCTTTCTCTCCCTGTTACTTCTAAGTATTGAAGCTCATGCCTGAAGTCTCTTGATATAGGAGCACGTTGAGGTGGCCTAGCTATTGACAATCTATAAGAAGCAGGAAAATCAGGTACAAATGAGGTACTGGCCTCATCAAAGCATGGGTAAATTGCATTTGCTCAGGTTTAGCCTTGTTTGCACATACCTGATAACTATTTGTACAAATCCCTAATATAAATCCAAATGCTGTCAGTTCTCATCTGATTTTCACTGATATGAGCACAGGGGAAGCATTTTAGCTTTGAGAGGAAGGTCTGTAAGTGCAGGGACAAGCAGAGAGCAAGAATTAACACTGTCAGTATAAGTCACCCCAGATTGGTCTGGGTGGTCCCAGCACATTGTTTGCTAAATCTACTTCTCAGGGTAGAGGGGTGTGGTCATAGGGATATTTTTCTTCTGCAACACTTTGTTCTCATCTCTACCTCTTGCCATCTCCCCAAGATTGGTGGAGTTGGTGGGCACCAACCCTAGGGTTAGGTGGTAACTACACAATGCAGGGGAGGGGGGATTTCCCTTAAGTAAAGACTCGAGAAAGGTAAGTAGTAAATCTCCTGTGGTAGGTGCAGTGATTTCAGGAAGGCAGAAATTCAGTGTTGGATCATTTGGTCTGGCCTTGGTGAGGAGAGAATTCTGTGCTGTGTTGTTGGACCAAGCATGGTGAGGTTGGTCTGCACGTGTGTGAGCCTGGTACTTTCCAAGTGTGGGCATGCTGAGCACGTGCTACCCAGCCTTCTGCCTGGGGAGTTCTTCTGGCTCCTGGGATACAGATCTTGCTGGGGGTTGGCTGCTGCCAAATTATTTATTCAGTCTGCTGCTCTCTCTGGGGGAAGCCTTAGGGAACGGAAGAGCTACAGGTGAACTGCAGGACATACTGTCACAGGAACGATATTGTTACATATCCTCACATCCTAAAGATCTCACAGCCTCGGAGTTCAACTGCATCCCAAGCTGTTTACCTTCTCAAGTAGTTATCCCAGAGTGGGGAGAGCTTTAGGCTCCTTTGGTCTCATCTTGGTGTGACTGTGGCAGTGCCCTGGTTACACGTGGTGGGATCCCTGTAACAGCTGCAGTGCCTCCAGGCAGGGCCTTTGACTGTTCTGGGATTCAGGCATCAGCAGCAGAAGAAACAGACAACTCCTCTCTCCTACCAAGTTATTTCTGTTAGGTATGGCTGGTAGCAGATCTGGGAGTCTTGGCTCAGTGAACAGGTCCTGCTCTATCTCCATGCAAGGAGTTTTTCCTCCATATGCTGCACCATCTCTCTCAGCTCGCCTTACCCTCTTGCCTTTGGGGAGATGGGCCCTAGGATGTAAGTAGTTTCCACATCCTCATCAGCAACTCCTTCTCCTAAGGGTGTTTAAGTAATATGAGTGGTGGAGGTAGATTTTATTTCTTTCTGGGTTGGCTTGTTGGTTTTGCCTTTTCCTCTCTTCTGAGCCTGTAACTCAGGAGCAGTTAATTGAGAACTTTAGCTTTGACTAATGTTTTGCAAACAGTTGCAATGGGTTTGGAGCTTGCTGGGTCAACTGCTGATAACCTGATTGCCTTTAATTGTGCAAACATACCCTCAGATATTTCAAAATGAGGGCACCTGGGTGTTGAAGGAATGGAAAGGAATGTGTGTATAAGTATGTATATACATATATGTGTATAATTCCACAGTTACAATTTCTTCAACTAACAGACCTTATCTAGGCACTGAAATACTTGAATCTCCATAAAGATTTGTCTTTCATGTCTCTGCAAAGGGGAATACTTGGGGAAGTTGTAAATAATTGCAATTGTCAGCCTGTCTCTATCTTTGCTCTCTAACGCTACAGAAGATAAGTGTACCAGCTTTGCTATTCAGAGCATTTCCTTTAGCAGCTGAATCCTGTGGGAGAGTCCTCTTAGAGCAGCTTTGCTCTGCGGTGGACTCTCCTGACAAGATCACAGACGGCTTTTGGTCTCTGAGTGTCATGATGAACATCTAGTTCGGTCTATTTTTACATCTGAAAGATGCTATGGTGAGAAGAAGCAGTACAGTAAGATTTGGAAGCAGTCTATACATGGTAATGCTTTTGGGGACAGTATGCATTCTCCTTCCAGTTCCTGAAATTTTTTATGTCTGTAAAACTTGAATTAGCATCAAGAAAATAGTCATGACTGTACAATATTTTGATTTTCTCTTTGTGCACCAAGACTGAAGTTCTGTGCTTTATAGCTGCTCTGATATGTCCTTTTCAGCTTCAAAGTTTTCCAATAAAATAAATTAATTTATTACTGGAGTTACTGCTACTCTAAACCATTAATTGAGAAGAAAAATAATGATATATCTGAAGTTATTTACCCTTATTGGCATACTATTCTTCACCCTTTTATTCTGCCCTGAGTATTGGTACAATGTCAGAACAGGATTTCAGGGCATGAGAGAGAAAATATTTTGACCTGAGAAGGTGGTTGGAGAAGTGGTTGAAAAAGTGGCAGAAACCTCAGCTGCTTTAACTACTGTTTATGGTGGGAATTGGGCAACTGGCAGTTTTGACCAGATTATCCCTGGATTTAGTCTGTCACTTCACTGAGATTACAGACGCCGGGTTTTGTTGTGAATTGTTCTGCCTGTGGTGTGTAATTGGGATCCTGGCTGGCAGGCCTTTGTCAGACCTGCCACCCTTGCTGGTTTGGGAGGTGATGGGTACCTGCTCAGCACGCAGGTGCTGAGGTGTCCCCGTCATCTCCCTGCGTTGCCACACTCTCTCAGCCACCACCTTGCTGCATCTTTATGGCCTGTGGGGCTGGGTGCTGTGGATGACATCTTAGCACTTCCAAAATGGACCAAGCTTGACTTGCTTGGGAGCAGAGCTGCTCTTCGCTCGTGTTTTGGAAAAAAAAACGGTGGGATGTTGCTTGTTTAGTTCCTGGAGACAGCCAGTCCTTGGAAGATGACTGCTGGTTAAGAGCTGTGATAATGAGGCAGAACGGTGATGTGATCTATTAATTTTTCTTTTTATGTTGTTTTCTTCCACATTTCAGGAGGGGTGCTTGTGGCCTTCAGAAAGCTCGGTTTCGCGCCAGGGTGCTTCAGAGGTACTGACAGATTTCTGACTATCTTCACCACGTGCTTTCTTTTTTTTTCTCCTGTAATGTATATTTGGTTCCTTTCAAAAACATGCATCTATTTTTTGTAAAAAAAGCTTTTTCAATGTAGTTCACACTGTTATCTAAGCCTGTCTTAACACGCATTTCATAAATTCCTGAGACCTTTTCATAAAAGAATGAAATTCTGCCTACCTGACACCTCATCTCTATCAGCAGCTCCCTGTCGTAGTAGGCATTCACAAGTAAGTGGTGGAGGTGCGTCTCTTTCCTGCAGTAATTTGAGTGTTCATTGGAAGCTGGGAGACCAGTTCTTCTTGTCCCTGAACTTTTCTTGAATTTACAACACATATCCTATTACCAGTGTCTCCCGTCTTCCAGCTAGCACAGATCCCTTGTCTGTGTAATAATTTGTGGGTGTATTGCTCTGAGTGGTCCAGCTGTCCCCTGACAAGCAGCAGAACTTCCTGGTGACTGGCCCTGCATCTGTGAAAATCAGGGTTTGAAGACCCTGCAGGGATCCAAAAAAGAGAAGACCAGTTTGGTAGATCTAGATCTGAGAAGCTGCTGTGACTGTGTAGATCTGGGATAGACCAAGTGAGGAGCAATAGCATCTCACAGAGTATCTTGAATGCTTCCTTTTTTAAAAGCCTGTCCTTCTCCAGGTTTTAAAATACTAGGGACATATTTTCCATCACAATGCAGAAGCTTTGTAGGCTCTCCGCAGAGGCTGAGTTCTGGCTGAGAACTGAGTGGGAGGAGGACACCTGATACGCTGATAGTGAAGGCGTGAGATATGCCAAGCCTTTACAGATTGTACTAAAATGACCATCTGAATTCTTCGGGGATGCATTAACTCTGAGTAGGAGGGGGAAGCTCAGACTGCAGCTGAAATTCAGTACTGGGACATTGTTGTAGAACTAGTCAATTACCGAGATGAGAGAGAATTCATTTCCTGGTTTCAGAAACACAATCATTTGGTTTTGCTCAGAGTGTTTTAATGTTAGAAGGAGCTGTGTGGGGTCTGGGGCTTCCTTTGTGCAGCTGTTCCTCAAGTGTGCTGGATCCTTCCTGCACCTCCTGCCTCTTCACCTGCAGCTGCATGTGGCCCGCGCCTGTGCAGGGTATCTGCTGGGTTTAACCTCTGAGGCAGGTGGCAAAAAGAAGAGCTCTGTGTTTTATCAGTTCGTTGTAAAGATTGGAGCACCTGCAGTGCTTTGCACAGACGTGGAGTCACTCGTGTCTCTCTTCCCGTTTCAGATCATGTACGCCCCAAGGTCCAGGGACAGGTTTACCACCCCATCTTTTATGCAGCGGGACCGTTTCAGTCGCTTCCAGCCCACTTACCCTTACATGCAGCATGAGATTGACCTTCCTCCGACCATCTCCCTCTCCGACGGCGAGGAGCCACCGCCGTACCAGGGCCCGTGCACCCTGCAGCTCCGGGACCCCGAGCAGCAGATGGAGCTCAACCGGGAATCCGTCAGGGCGCCGCCCAACCGAACCATTTTTGATAGCGACTTGATAGACATCTCGATGTACAATGGGGGCCCCTGCCCACCCAGCAGCAATTCGGGCATAAGTGCAACCAACTATAGCAGTAATGGAAGGATGGAAGGACCGCCCCCGACGTACAGCGAGGTCATGGGGCACTACCCAGGCTCCTCTTTTTTCCACCACCAGCACAGCAACATGCCTCCTTCCTCGCAGAGGGGGAGCAGACTTCACTTTCAGCAGAACAATTCGGAGAGCACAATAGTTCCCAGCAAAGGCCAGGACCGCAAACCAGGAAACCTGGTCTAAGTTACCCGCCCAGGTGCGTTTGGACTGAAGACGGGAGATGCAAGCAGGGCGCTGGAGGAAGACCCCCGTGCTCCGGTGCACAGTGTTGTTACGTTTAACGTGGTACAACTGAGTAAAACCAAACGTGCAAACCAGTTCTTTGTTTCTGATTCCTTTCAGGGGAATTGCATGCAAAGCAGATTGAAAGAAATACAAACTTCCATTCGGTTTGTCTATGAGCAGTGTTTCAGGGGAGGGGGGGGGGGATATATTATTTTTTTTTAATAAACTATTTCAATTATTTAATTCTAAAAGTTAACTTAGCACAGAAATGAGGCTTGTACAGCCTGTTTTATACTCACTGAATGGCAGAAGGAAGAAGGTGGTTTTGCTAGATAAATGGGGGAAGAATTGGCCAGTTTGCTTTTTTTTTTCTCCCAGGGTGTGAATTTTTTTTTAATATGAAACAAAATTCCTGTTCTGTGTGCCAAGGTATAAAGTTGAGAACTTAGATGAATGCAAGGAATTAATTTGTATTGTGATAAATGTGTTTTAAAAAGTTGCACTATCTTACTGTTTTAAAAAAAAAAAGTATATATGAGGGAACTGTTTTATGTGAAGTTCTTCTATATGTTGTCGTTTCACCTGTGGAATAATGATAGAGCCCTAGGAGTAATCTGGAGGAGTTTGCCCCCTCCCCCCGGGTTTGCTAGAAGATGGGCACAGGACTTAGCCTAACATCTCTTGACTTTCACAGTTCAAAAAATACAGGGACACTTGTCTTTGCAATAATTTGCATTTGAATAACAGTGTATCAATGAAGTGTCTTGGAGACTTTTGGATGGAAGAAGGCAAATATGAAGTCCCAGCATTTTCCATCACTTAAGGTTTAGCTATTTTGCAGTGTAGACTATTTCTTTCATAAACGGCAAAACTACAATTCCCACATGTGTTGATCTGTCTTGATTTTAAGTGCTGCCATTCTTTTCCTTTCCATAATGCAGTATGACCAGTACTTAACGTTCTAGAAATTTTTGTCCTCGCTGTAGCCTGAAATGTATTTAGTCACATATCATGACATTATGCAATAAATGGTTTGAAAATGTAGGGTGGGATTTTTTTCCCCTGCACCGCTGTTCAAATACGTGAGACTGTTGTGGTTTTCGCTCTCCATTTCGTCCTTTTGTATGCTGAAGTTCAGTCCTGGAGGTCCGTCCTGTTGAAGTGAAGGGAGCCCTTGTGGCTAAACGCACCCCCTGTGGTGTTTCTGCAGCAGTACCGAGCGCGCTCGTGGCTGTGGTGCTGGCTTCTGCCGCATCCCTGGCAGGGACGTGGGAGCACCAGGAATTCTCCCTGCAAACCGTTCTGCTCTGGGCCCTGCTGCGGAAACCCTTCTGGGTGCGTGATGTCTGCGTGACAACAGCAGGACTGTGCTCATGGCTAAAGGTGGCTCACGTGTTAACCAAGTGTCTGTAAGCCCTGATTTTTGCTATACTGGCCTGGAGAGTAGTTATAAAGTGTTACCTGCCTGTGTTGTGGCACGTGGGGTGTTTCTGCACTGGCTGTTCCCGTGTGGAAGCACGCGCGGTGCCGGAACTCAGTTGACAAAAGGTGATAGTGACATCACAAGCACATGAAAAAGCACAAATTGCACTTAAAATGCATTTTGGAAATGGACTTAAAAGTAAGAATCTTTAGCATCTTAGCTTGAATAGTTTCTAATATATAGGTGTATGAGTGTGTCATAGACCTTTTCACTTAAAGATCTTTCACTTTTTTCTGTTTTCCTGAGCCTTGTGCTTGGTTGCAGGCAGCAGCTGCTGAGTGCCCCAAGGGCACCAATGCCCTGGTCCCATGGCTGGAGGCTGGATTTCTGCAGGACTTCTGTACACGGGGGGGGCTCTGATGACTGAAGTGCATCTTTGATCTATGCAGAGTTTTAATGCCAAAACTGTGTGTGTGTGTGTCTGCGTGCGTGCCTCTTGGGCCTCAGTGTAGATTTGTTTTCTTCATAAGGTAATTTGATTTTATTCTAGTTTAGAAAACATTTGTGTAACTGTTAGTCTGAATACACAGCCCCATTTGTCTCTGTAATAGTTATTTTGGTCTGAGTCACGCTGGTAATGCAGAGTAAAGCTGCCTTTTATCATATGTATTAATTGAAGGGAGAGATGAGATTGTATGGTGGGATTCACTTATTTTTTTCCTCTCAGACCCGCAGGACAGGTGTTTAGAAGATGACTAGGTGGCTTTCAGTCAGCTGGGGCTCTCATCACTTCTGGTTCCTGGGAATAAAAGCTGTGAAATTAGATTGTTGCAAACAACCTATGAACATAATTCTTGGTTAAAAACAACAAACAAACAAAACCCAACCAGAGGACAAAGCCAGCAAATGTTTGTTTTGGTCTTCAGTGACTTTTGTCACTTGAGGAGCGAGCCTTTAAGCCAGAGAATGCGTGTGCCTACACAGATACTGTGCTGTTGCCTAAATGAGGATTGTTTAGCCAAGAAGCCTTTAGGTTAGAACAGCTGGAACTCAGTTGTCATGGCAGAACACACCTGGACTGGGCCCTGGGTTTGGGCTGGTTGAAGATCAACTTTCCCCATGTGCGTATCTCAGCAAAGTGAGCCTTGAAGTTGCCTTCAAAGTCACCTCTTGGGAACGTACTTTCTTTAAAAAGAGGTCCTTGCCATCTTTTGCCCTCTCTGCATGCCAGTGGATATATGCACTTCCCATTAACTTTGTCCAGTACACTGTCTCTTAATTTTCCTTGGCTGAGAAAAATTTTCTGCATGGAAAGCATAGCCTTTTCCAGTCCTTTAGAAAAGATTTGTTTAAAAATAACTTGGTATTTGCTCACCTAATAGCTGCATCTCCTCTTGCATCTCTGTCTTCTCATCCTAGAATCAGAGACTATGCTGAGCTGGAAGGGACCCATGAGGATCATTGAATCCAGCTCTTGGCCCTGCACAGGACCATCCCCAAGAGTTACACCATGTGCCTGAGAGCATTGTCCAAATGCTTCTTGAACTCTGTCAGGCTGGTGCTGTGACCACTTCCCTGGGGAGCTTGTTCCAGTGACTGACCACCCTCTGAGGGAAGAATCTTTTCCCAATGCCCAGCCCAAACCTCCCCTGGCACAGCTTCCAGCCATTTCCTTGGGTCCTGTTACTGGTCAACAGAGCGAGGAGACCAGTGCCCTGTCCCTCCTCTTTCCCCCACAGAGAAGTTGTAACTGCACTGAGGTCTCCCCTCAATCTCCTCCAGGCTAGACAAAGTCACCTCAGCCACTCCTCGTGTCTTCCCTTGGGACCTTTCATCATCCTCATGGCCCTCCTTTGGACACTCTCTCACGGCTTAATGTCATGCTCTGCTTTCCCAAATGCAATGTGCAGACAGTACCTCTCAGCTCTGGGAGTGTAGTGACTAGTTTACTTACTATAGGGGAGCTTGCAGTCTTCTGTTTTGGGGCCTTTTTAGCAGTAAATAGGCTATTTTCTGATGGATATTAGTGCTCTCCAGTGGGAAGGCACTCAACAGTGTAACATTCAAACACTTTTTTTTTCTATTTTTTTCTTCTATTGACATGGTAGAGAATCTGCTCTTGATAACAGAACAGAATGGTAAAAGAAATACCAGAATTAGATAGCACTATCAGTCTTTACAGGCTTAGAAATTGGTGAGCTCTGAAGATAGGTAATTCTATGAAGCATTTATGGAAGACAAGCTTTGTCCAGTTTGATAGACTGTATTCCAGAGCCACTCAATGAAACTGTGTATAAATGATAAAAGATTTATGCAAGCATTGTAGCATTAATTGTGTAGATTTTGCCTCCATACTGATGTTCTGGTTTATGTGTCTCATGCACAAAACCCACATGGTATGTGTGTCGTGTTTTCTGTGTGATGGATCATATTTGCCTGATTTCCGGGTGGATCTTCTGACTTTGCCCAGTAACTCGTGTTCCCAAAATTCAGTATAGCGATGTCCCTACTTTTGAAATTTTCAGGTTAAAAGATTATTTTTTCTTTTAAATACACCTTTATGAAATAAAGTTTTGTGACATCTGTCCTACTGCAAAGACTAATTTTTCCCTTATGTGTCTTGGCATGGCTCTTTTCTTGATGCTAAGTATGCCCCATCTTTGGTGGTTTTGTATGATCTTTCAGGCCTAGAAAAGGCAGGGGTTTAGCAAAAGGAAAAACCAGTTTCCCTTCCAGTTTCCCAATGGAGCACTTGGCACTTAGTTCTAATTCGGTACCTGTGTCTAGCACAGTTGTGGTTGGGCTCCTCTCAGTGCTGGACATGCAAATTCAGTGTGATGCTGCTTAAAAGATGTGAGTGAGGGATAGGAAGAGGGGTACCCAGCCAACAGCGCAGTGTTCTGATCCCTTTCCTGGCACGTGTAGCATGTGCAGAATTCACTTTGCATAATAGGATGTTTTCATCAAGGAGGATCTAATTATGCTACTTCTGGTCTTGTAATTGATTAACTCTGCACTTGGGCCAGTCTTGGGCTGATGGGACTTTATTACAGCATGATTTTCCCTTGGAAATATGAAAACTGAAGAATAGGCCCCATGTACAAGTTCCGGATGGCTAGTGAGGAGGATGTTTGCATTCCTGCCCTTGTGGAATCTGCAGGAACCATGGGTTAAACTCTGCATCATTTGGCTTTTTATTACTGCTTGCCCACTTCTTCCATCAGTTTGTCCCAGCTGGAAGCAGCTTCTGTTACGCCAAATCTCTGAATGTTCTTGTTGCAAATGCATTTTTTTAAAAAGTGTCATTGAGAGCTGTTTTGTTGTTTTTTTCTGTGAAGGGGGTGCAGGGAAGGGTAAGGAGCAGGATTGCATTGTTTGTTAAGTGCATTGTTTGTTAAGTGCATTGTTTGCACTTCTTTGCAATGGAGAAGAAATTCTTGTCCTGCTGAAGAGCCCTGTGTGGAGGCTGTCTGGAGCAGTGCTGTCTGAGGCAGCTGTTTCTAACCCTGCTAGGTAGTGAGATACTGGACCTTAGAACTGACATTCTAATCTGTGAGGAATGTTTGAATGCTTTGGGGAAGATTGATTGCTAACCTTTCTCTGACTCTATCCCTGAATGCTCATGATAGCTAAGCTGATTTCTTAGGTGAAGAGAAACAAAATAGTAAA